GCGGACGCTACCATCTGCCAGCCAGCCGGCATCGCAGCGGTCCAGCCCCTGGAATTTCCAGGCAGAGTAGAGCTGCCCGACTCGGGCGATCTCAGCCCCCACATCCTGGCAGCTCTGCTTGGCCTCCTCCAGCATCATCCCGGCTGGGTGGTCCAGGTAGAAAACCTCTCCTAAGATGGAGAGGAGAGCATCAGTGCTGAGCATCATCTGAAGCATCCCCATCCAGAGCATCCCCATCCAGAGCATCCCCACATGGAGCATCCCCACATGGAGCATCCCCACCTGGGCTGAGCCCTGTGCCCTAAGGGGGAGGGAGGACATGGGATGGCACTGATGGGGCACAGCATCTTCCCCAGGATCCCACTCCCCAGCCCTTGGCCCAGCACCAACCTTTGAGCGCAGAGGAGAAGCAGAAGGCATCAAAGCGGTGCAGGTGCCGGTGAAAAAAAAGCTGCGGTTGCCCGGGCCGAGATGCAGCCCACCGCAGGGTTTACGGGTCAGGCGGATGGGGTACTGCACGGTGCCGTCAGCCAGCCAGCCCGCGTTGCACCAGTCCAGCCCCTCGCTCCAGGCCTGGAAGAGCTGGTGGAAGGTGGCAAGGATGGCGCCCTGCTCCTGGCACACTTGTTCGGCTTCATGGAAGTTGAGCCGGTACTGCCCGCGGGGAGGCTGGGAGGGGAACACGATGCCTGGGGGCAGACGGGGCACTCAGCCGGCTCCGCAGGCAGCCCACCCGCCCCAAGTCTGGCTCCAGCAGGAGCCACAGGGCTCCCCAACCCATCCCAAATTCAGGCTCCGGGACAGGGATCACCCCAGAGTGGCACAGCCCAAGGCTCAGGCCGGCAGGGACAGGGCTGCTCCGGGCATGCAGCTGTCAGCGGCAAGTTGCCAGCGACATCTGGTGGCACGGTGACACAAGGGCTTGGTCCTGAGGACATGCAGACCACCCTTGTAGGGACAGCACCAGCACACACAGGGATGCACAGACTATGATAATAGGGATGCAGGGACCGCCACCACAAGGACATATGGACCATGGTCCTGGGAACACACAGACTGTGGTCCCAGGGAGACATGGACCACCCTTGTGGGGATGGACAGACCATCGTCACGGGGATGCACAGGCTACAGGAACAGGGACACAAGGACCAGCATCACAGTGATATATGGGCTGCGACCCCAGGACACATGGGCCACCAACATGGGCATGGATGGAACACTGTCATGGGGATGGATGGACCACAGGATCATGTGTACCACCACCACGGACCGCAGTCATGGGGACCAGTGGGGACAAGCCACCATAGGAGGGAGGGCCTGGGGGCCGAGTGGGTTGGCAGGGGCACAGCAAGGGAGACATTTCACCTGCTCTGAGCTTGGCAGTGGAGCCAGGGCTGAGTCAGGTCCCTCATGGCAAGTTAGCAAGAGGGGTTGGACCAGTCACCAAGGTTCACCACGAGATGCATGGGGACACCCAGAGCTGGGAGGCAAGGGGGTGGCCGCACATGGTGCAGCACAGTGGGAAGATGGGAAGAGGAAGAGTGGGAGGAGGCAGGAAACACCACGGCCACGGGGTCACCCCCAGCTCGGACTCCACAGTAGCATCCCCAGCATCCCGGCTGTGCAGTCTGCTTTGGGCTCGCTCAGTGCTGAGACCCCACAGGCAGACAGCCCCAAGCCACCACCCCATCACACCAAGCATCCCAGCCCCCTTCTGCCCATAACTGGGGTCCCCAACACCCCCAAGGAGGGGGTGCCGCAGGAAGGCTAGGCTCACTGGCTTGGTGCAGGGGGTCACGCGGTCCCCACCGTGCCCCCACCTTGCAGCCGAAGGTCCACCACGTCGCTCTCATCTTCCAGCCCATCGATGACCTCGCAGCGGTATTTGCCATCATCCTGCAAGCGCACGTCACTGACGACCAGCGAGGCCTCGCGCCGGCCGGCCTGGTGGAGGTGAGCGCGGCCCCGGAAGTCCCCAAAGGCCATGTAGGTCTTGCCGATGGCCACCAGCACGTCCTGCTCCTTGGTGTAGTCATCCCGCAACTTGGACCACTTGATGCGGATCTTGCGTTTGGCCTCCAGGTCGGGCTCGTAGTGGTAGTGGCAGGGCAGGGTGACATTGGCGCCATTGGAGCTGTAGATGGGGTCTTTGGGGGTCTCTACGACCAGCTTGCCCCCACTGAAGTAATCTACTGGGGACAGGGAGGGAAGGTGTGAAGTATGGGTCAGGGTTCAGGGCTGGGCAGTGTCCCCAAATCTCCCTGCAGCCGCTCCACTCCCTCCCTCCAGCCACCTCCTCCTCTGCCTGAGCATCCCATGAGCACCC